TTCTTCTTCATCCCAGCTTTACATGCGGAGCATGATGTCATATGGTCTGGAATATCCCTTTGGCCAGCCTGGGTCAGCTGTCCTGGCTGTGCCCCACCCCAGCTCCCCGGGCACCCCCACCTGCTCGCTGGCAGCCCAGCACGAGAAGCTGGACTGTCCTTGACGGCTCAGCAACAACCCAAAACATCATCACGTTATCAGCATTTTCGCATCCCAAATCCAAAACCCAGCCTCACACCAGCTTCTGTGGAGAAAATTAACTCTACCCTGGCTGAAACCAGGACAGACAGTTGGTGTGGGCACTGCGGAAGGCGAGCAGAGCAGCTGGCTGGCAGCCACCAGGTCCTCCAGCATCCCTGAGTGCGAGTGCAAATCCCTGTTGTACGAGGGGGCAGGGACAGGTCTGTGCAAGAAGAGCTTGAAACTTGGGAGCTGAGGGAATGGAAGGCAGCAGGTAGGTGTTTGCAAGGTTGTATAGGCAGAAGCCCCACAAAGGCTGGGAGTGCCTAGGAAGACAACTTCTTCATTTAGCTGCTGGTTGGCCCACACGGGCTGTGTTCAGACCGAAGAAACGTACCCTTGAATGGTCCCCACAGGGCTCCGCTTTCAATAAACAAGCGTGTGGCTTCCTTATCCCTGCCAAAGGAATTCAGGGAAGAGGTGCCATGCGAGGCTGGTGGGAGCGGGTGGGACAGAGAGGTAGAAAGGAGTGGGATGCCAAGGAGCAACATCAGCTTGCTGTCAACATCAAAAAAATTGTCTTGGCAATGAGTGATCAACTAATCCTACAGACAGAAGATCTGGACCTCCAAATCCCAAAGGCAGAGAGGTTTGTGGGGATCAGCTGAATCTGACCAACAGCCTGAATCTGCGATATTACCGGAGAGTTCATCCAGTTCTTGGGTGCTCAGCCACATGGACGCTGAAGCTGTATCTGCTCTGATAAACTGTGACAGGGCGCAGACTTGGGTGCTGCATCTCAGCTAACTGTATTTTTTTGGTCGGTCCTTGGCGGAGTTTTGATGTGCTTATCTAGCCCTCTCTCAGACTTTTGGCCGTGATTCAGGAGTGTGCATGGACCAAGAAGCAGTTGTGATACAGCCACCTCATTTTGGAGGCTGGAAGCTTTTAACACTGGTAACATGGCCAGACTGTGCCAATTGGTTTCATTTCTAGAAAACAATCTCTGCCACTGTTTAATTTACTAATATTTGCTACTATTTATATAATATTATTTGATACTATATTTAATTTCCAGGCTTTGTTCTTGCTGATGGAAAAGAACTAATTGAAAATTTGGCAGTGGATGAAAATGATGGAGTTTGTGATAGGAAAAAAAGGAAGGAGACCATAGAATAAAGATTGCAATTCTCAAGAAACCTGGCTTGGGTAATGTTAGGGGCTTGATAGGGAGGATCCCATGGAAAGGCAGCCTGGAAAAGGATTTCTATATCTTGAAGAAATAATATTAAATGCAAACTGGGTGAAACAAATTTTGGATTCCTTTAGGTCATGATTCATCTGATCTAGATGGGACTAAGTCTGAGCGGCTGCAGGAGTTAGGATTAATTGTGATTAAGATTAATAAATATTAACTGTGGTTTAAATGTGCCTGTTGCTCTCTGATAAGTCTAAAGCAAGCCGAAATTGCCAAGCTTAGCTCCAAGTGTCTTGGTTTTAGATGACTGAAGTCAGTTGAACTGATCCAGTATATTGGATTCCTTCCGGGAAATCTTGGAGGATGGGTGAAGAAAACTGGAAAGGAGGGGAGGGGGGGAAGTGGGAGAAAGAAAAGGAGAAACCAGGGAAAACCGTAGTTCCCAGAAAGCTGCAGGGACAGATAATCAAGCAAAAGTTGTACCAGAATAAACTGATAGCAAAACTGCAAGGCAAATCATGCCGAGGCAAACTAATGCTGCTTCTTGACAGGGAATGGGATTTGTGGTGCCAGAAATCCAGCGCCCTCTTTATCTGCCTGCTGCGGGCTGGGTGAGCACCCAGGATGCGGGACTAGGGATGGAATCCCCACACCAGCACCTTCAGCATCACCTACTCCCTGCCTCCCACTCAACCCGCAGCTCTGGCCAAAGCGTGAAGCTGAGCCAGCGCTGGCAGCCAAAAATGAGGTTTGCCCATCACCCGTAGAGGGAGCCCG